TCTCAAAATCTTTACCATTTCAACATCTCCAATTTTCTTTTTTATTTCTCTTGATACCACAATGGGACTGATTTTATCCTTTTCTTCCTCATTTTTAAGTTTTAATATTACTTTAAATTCCTCCCTCACAACTTTCCTCCTGACCACCCTTTCTTCTTCTGAGCTACTTCCTTCCAATTCCCGTTTATTACCTTGACTGTCACCTTTTCCCCTTCCTTCATCAGTTTTATTTCTTCCACGACCTCTCCCTCTCCCTCTTCCCGCAGGCGTCCACCCTTCAAAATCCTCGTCTTCCTCATTTCCTATCTCCATTTCCATCCGAACCATTCACATACCAGTTTATGCCAAATCCGCCTTCTCTCAAGTGATGTTTCTGCTTTGAATTTTTCCGCGTCCAACACAAACGTTCGCCACACGTGCTCAACCGCTCCAAGCAATGACGTCTGTGATCCATGCCACGACCTGCCTGCGAGCCATCGGCGTGGAATCAAGGTCAGGCAGGAGCTTATAAAGGAGAGGTCTTCTGATGAGAGGATTAGGAACAGGTGTGCAGGAAGGTTCCAGCTCCAGAAGACCCACGGCGCACTCCGCTGGAGAAAGAGGGTAATCTCCAGATCCCCACAGTAACTCCAACCCTAAGGGAAAAACACAGAGCAGAAGAGGATCCTCGGCGCCCTCTGGAGGGCAAGCCTGAGGATCCTAACAATTACTTGATAATCTACTATAATTTGAGAGACAGTCCTAGAAAACTTTAATAAGAGCAGTGTAACCATAAGATAAGAGGTAAATGGTAGTACTGTAGACCAGTCTTACTGTGTGCTCAAGTTAGTAAATACACCTTATTTGGGTTTTAATGATGCCACCTGAGGAGAAACTATTTGCAAGTGGAACTTCCCCAAAGGTTAAAGCATGTTTTTTGTCTGCTTGACCTGTTTACTGACACATTTATTTAATTTCTATTGTCACAGACCTCAGTGGACAAACAAAGGACAAATTTCAAATGAATGTTAAACAAATCTTTAGAAAACCACATCTTTTTTGCAGGTAATACAGCGATACAACCATGCTACATCAGTGCAGGTGTTGCTGGCTTCATCCTCCTCTGCCTTGTTGGCTCCCTCTGCTGGTTTGAATGTGTGTGTAAGTAGATAATCCTGCCTGTACCATAATTTATATTTAAAGTTTTTACGGTTTCAATGATAAAAATGAGGGATGTTGATTTTTAAAACATCACTTTATGCTTCTTTCTCAGACCCTCACAAGAAAAGAAGTGTTAATGAAGCAACTCAAGGTATGCATTGTTTCCGTACAAAAATCAACCATATACAGACGTTAAATTTTTTTAATTATTCTGATCAAAGTTTTCTTAAATGATAGTTTAAATCTAGAGATTAAAAATGGCAAACTCTATGGAGAAAAGGCTCTTCTAAACATGCACACTTTGAGCTCTCAGTGTCAGGGTTTGGTTGTGGTTTGGAGGACCCAAATGCAGAGGCAGAGGCTGAGGAGATCTCTTGGGAGTTTTAATGGGGCAAAACAGTAAACAAAGGCAGGAATCCAAAAATCCAACTAATAATGAAAGGCAAACCAGAACTGAGAAGACATCTGGGGAAACCAAACACGAGGAGCCAGGGAGAGACGAGGATCGTGGACAACAGCATGGGAGGACAGCAAAGACAAGGAACCAACAAAGAGTGAGAGCAGAGGGAGAGCATATATAGGAGACAGAGACAAAGGGAGGGCTAACGAGCAGACAAGGAGCAGGTGTGAGAGGAGACAACGAGGGAGCCAAGGGGAAAGGAACACACACACAAGAGGGCAAAAGAGGACAACAGAAAAACATGAGAACTAACACAAATCTAGAAATACAACAAAACTGGAATTAAACCAACAAATCCAGAAAACAAGGAGCAAAGCAAAGAACAGCAGGACCAAGACCATGACACTCAGTTTTTAACCAATGCAATGACTGCAAGGATACAAAAATAAATTTTGTGAAAAAAGTTAGAGAAAAGCACAGCCTCTAATTTTATCTATTTATCTTCATATGTATTAATGGACAATGACATGGCTATAATCAGATTTTAATAAGATCTTTTGCTAAGTATTGTTACAATCTGCTTAGGTAGTGTACTTTACATATGGACAAACACACAGACATAAATTTTTTTAAATATATGATCTGGAATTATAAAAAGAACTGTTGATAAATGTTATGAGAATAGAGGAAAATACTTTTGGCAAACAACAACAGTATAGTCAGTGTTTGTGGAGTTTGTTGGAGGATCCAAATGCAGAGGCGGATGCAGAGTGTAGGTGTAGATTTGTTGAATGTTGCGGTACAAAAGCATAAATCCAGGAGCAGGCAAGGTAGAACTGAAAGGGAAACCCCACCAGAGGGAACATACTGGTGGAAATGAAAGCAAACCAGCAAAGATTGGCTAAAGGGAAGGAGTATGGCCCAGTCCCAGTACTAACACTAAACCCTAAGCCCCTCTATGAAGTGTGGAAATGGATGAACTGCATTTAGGAGTTTGAGTGCCCAGGTTGCAACTTTACAAAATGTGGAGAATTGGAACAGTACTTGTGCCCAGCACTGTAACAGAGAAACCGAAAGTGAGAGGAGCGATCCCTTCTTTTCTAATGTTACTGTAAAAAAGATTTATCTTAAAAATGAAACAAGAAATCCTTTAGTATTCACACATAGACTGTATAATATGATTTATCTTAATAATTACACCTGAAAGCATGTGTTCCTTTTAGCACAGCCATTGGAGCTCACTTCTTTAACCTTGCTTTCACAATAAAAGAATAAAATTCAAGTGAAAAATATTAGCTCTGTATAAAACATATCTTAAATGAAGAAAAATACAATTAGAATGTACAAGATAATCTACGGGAGAATATGTCTAACTGGATCCAAATGCTAGAAGAAAATGAAAACAAAAGTATTTAGACATTCCAAAGCATGTCTAATTCTGAGTTTTTATGTTTTTATTATTTTGATATAGGAGAATTATCTAAAATGATGGTGTGAGAGCTTCTCATTTAAAGCAATAGATATTTGAAATTCCAAAGGACTGCTTGTTAATGAAGAAGTTATCCATCAGAGCTCTTTGAAGTTATTCTCTTATTTAGCACTGACTGCATGTTGGAGTCATCTTCCTCTTATCACTGTTAGATCATTATGAAATATAGATATAATATGTAAAAGATATAATCTAAATTATACATTAGAAAAATTGTAATTCTTTAAAATTGTTAAGAGTTTTAATCATATTTCCTCCTCTTGAATCTGTTACCTGTTATTCATCTAATTTCCTATACAGTGAAACAGGAGATCCATGGGAGCACAGGCAGAGAACAAAGAGGTAGCCTGGTCTTCGAATAATATCATATTTAATCATCTATATAATCAGAACTCATAATGTGTGAAAAGAATATTGTTCTAGCATTCTTTAATCATTGTTCCTCTGTCTACCCAACAGGGATGAGAAGGAGGAAAGCTAAAGACTGTGAATTCTGACATCATCTGTGGATCAGATCAGCAATTCACAGCAGGAGCACAGAACATCTTAACTATCAGAAAAGGATTAAAGAGTCTAAACACTGTATTAACCTGCACACATTAACTGATCCTGTTGTTTTTTTAACTAAGTGAAATGCATTTCTCTACATTTATAAAAGCATTTTGACAAAAGAACATAAATACAGCATAGATTCTTGATCTGTTCATTTTAGTTTCATGTTTGAGAATTAGACTCAAGGAGTGAGATGTTTTAGTGACTTTTAACTAATAAAAATCTTATATACTCACTGAGTGGCACATTTCTTTTCAGTATTGACTGAGGATGAGGTCAGAAAATATATTACCAGCCCAGTAATAAGAAGCTAAAATCTAATCACTGGAAGAAGTAATAAATAAAGAATTAAGAGCATATTTTGTTCTCTCACTATAGAATACTGGTAAGGGATAGGGATGAAGTACTGGCATGCAATAACAGAGATAAATCTCAATAAAATGTCCAATTTAATAAATAGCACACATAACAGACAATAAATAACATAACAGGGATTATATAACATACATTAGATGCGTTTCTAGAAGCGTTTCTTCTGCATAAATCTGTAATTTTTGTATTTTTTTTTTGGTCTCTGAAATAGTACTCAGTACATAAGCCTTTTTACGATCTTTTTTTTGTTTTACATCGCTTTGCTATGGCTATATTTACATATATAGACAGAAATAGTATTTTGGTCAATCCTTCATTGTCATCCTTTGGCTATTTTTTTTTTTTTTTTTTTTTTTTTTTTTTTTTTTTGGACTAATTACTCCCACTCCATGGTGTATTTTCCTTTAGTCACTCCCCTGCCACTAGTCAGCACCATAACTAGTTGAAGCTTCTGCCACTAATTATCCCCTTGTCTTTGCATTCCCTTTATGTACCTGCCTCAATCTCTACTTGCTGTCATAATGTCAAACTAATCTCTCTGCTTGTATGTGTTCCCAAAAGTTTATTATTCTTCCTGCCTTTCAGCCATATTGGAATCACAGCCGCTTCTGGTTTTCACGGAGGAAATGTTTGTTCTTTTCTGTTTGCTTGTTTGCTTAAGGAGAAATAAATCACAAAATTAAAGGACTTTATCTTTCGAATTGATTTCTTTTTGCCTGTATGAATTACTTGTCCATGGTGCATCTTTTTTGTGTTGTCAAAGCTGGGCCACAGCAGGACTTGTTAGGTGAATTTATCTGAAAATCACCATGTGCATTTGTGCATCTCTGTCTTCTCATGACTCTGCGTGTTCAGGAAATGTCATCAAGCTTCAACAGCATTTATGGCAGTTATTGTGACTTTGGTTAAGTATTGCACTACACTGCCTGCTCTGTTTAGTCTTTGAAATATAAAATAAATTTTATGGTCTGCTGCACTATCAATTAGGCTAACACAAGCTGCAGTGGTTTTGTGGTTTTGTCCCATGATGCTTAGGGAAGTAAAAACAGCCTCAGCTTGCTGCTGTTAGCACAGAGTGAAATACTGACAATGAAGACTTGCAAGTACATTCTCCTTTCTGCCCTCTGGCTTATAAATGTCTCTTCAAAAGGTAAGTCCTGTTTTAAAATCCTAGTTTAAACATGATTTGATTTTTTTACTTGTACCTAACACTAAGACCTAACCATCATTGTACTATAAAATTTATATGAGGGTAAATTGTAAATAACCATGAATGATAAATCTAACAAAAATATTAGAAATCAATAATCTTCTTTATTGCAGGAACTAAATCCCAGCACCATACCCCCAAAATATGTCTAATAAATGGTATTCAATTACTAGCAAATAAAGTAAAATAAAACAAACTAGATGTTAAAAGTCATTAAAACTTCAAAATAAAAGCCAGAATATTTGTATTTATATGACTATTTACACAAATAACAATGAGGCAGACAAAATTATTCACAGCTTGCAGCTTGCATAGTTCAGCTATCTTCATCTGGTTGATCTTTGCGGCCCCTGCTGCAGGTGTTAGATTTATTTTTAGAGCAGCAACTCTGCACATTACCTTGCCACCATTTTTTTCTACTTACTGCACACTGTAAACGTTATAACTGTGACTTTACAACAAATAACTGGATAAGTATTGCATGACTTCACACTAAAGATTACAGTGATATGCTGTGATCAATGACGCAATTATAGTAATATTATGATTCACTACAATACATTACTGGGGAATTACAGCATTTTGACATACATCATTGCAATAAGAACATGTAGTCTAATGTAAAAGTACTAGTTGACAGTTATTTACAACATGAAAAGTGAAAGTAATGCAAACACATCTTTTCATCTTTTCTCAATATTGAAAGTGAGGGTGTACACTACACACAGGGACAACACAACTATGCGCACAATTTAGTGACCTAACAATCATGTGTCTTAGAATGCATATTTTATAAAGAGAGAAAATGCAAGCTTCGAAGCTGGGCCAGGAGTCGAATCCAGGACCTTATTGGTGCAAGGCAACAGTGCTATTAACTGTGCAACCACGCAGCCACAAATCTATATATTTACTATGAAAATACGGAAGGTAAGGCATTTACGCTTCAGTACAAATGTGCTTGTGGTTGTTGCACTCAGACCCAGATCCACCCTGTTTGGTTAACACTGGAAAGAACAGAGACAATTTCCTTTGATTCATGATCAACCATAGTTCAAATTATTCAATTTGTGAAAAACTACTGCTCCAGAAATCCCTCCTTGGATAAAAGACTAAAGAACCTTGGTGAATAATTAGTTTTCAGTTCTACTCATTTAAGTAATAATCATTAATTGGCCTTACCCTCGATTATAATTGACAGTTCTAGTGATTTAATATATTCACAATCTGCTTGAATAATTGCATAACAGTAAGGATTTTAAAGTCTATTCTCTGAGCTACAGGGAGTCAGTGAAAGGACTTCAGAACCGGTTCTACTTTCTTAGTTCTAGTGTGAACACAGGCAGCAGCGTTTTCGGTCAGCTGCAGCTGTCTGATGGACTTTTTACGCAAATCTGTGAAGACACTGTTGCAGTTATCAATTCTACTAAAGATAAATGCATGATTCACTACGGGTACTCTGGCTTCCTCCCACAGTCCAAAAGCATGACTGTTAGGTTAATTGGCTTCTCTAAATTTTTCTTAGGTGTGAGTGTGTGTGTGAATGGTTGTTTGTCCTGTTTGTCTCTGTGTTGCCCTGCGATGGACTGGCGACCGGGGTGTACCCTGGCTCTAGCCCTTAGACAGCTGGAGATAGGCAACACCAGAACCTCGTGACCCTACATGGGATTAAGCGTGTCTGAAAATGGATGGATAAATGCCTGATGAGTTTCTCTAGATGCCGCTTGGACATTAGTCATTTAATCCTGGAGATGCTCTTCAGGTGGTAAAGGGCTGACTTAGTAACTGCCTTTATGGGCCTGTGAAGGTTCAGGTCTGAGTCTATCGTGACACCAAGATTTCAACCATAATCAGTGGTTTCATGCTGTATTATCTGAAGCATCGACCTAACTCTGAAACTCTTCTCCTCTGGTCTGAAGATTATTACCTCAGTTTTGTTTTTATTCAGTTGGAAAAAATTATGGCTGAAATTTTACATTAGAATTATACAGTTACTCCCCACCCCCTATAGCGTTGTGTTAAAATTTTTAAGTTGTCTGTAAAAAGTACAAAAAGGACTATGCTACTCAAACCTCTGAAAACTACTGCTGCTGTAAAAAAAACTATGATGCCCACTCAAAGCCAGAGTTTCATAATGACGATGCTTAGATGAGGGTTTATTGTTGTCCACTTCTTTTTCTTCAAACCTCTTTCATGATTTATGTCTGGGAAGCACCTGTTGCTGAGAAAAGATAGTTTCACTTTTAAATAGACATATTTATTGCAGGCAGCATTTATCAAGTGTTTATCTGTGCCTGTTCCCATATCAAACTCTCATAGCATTTTAATCCAAACTTGTTTGGTCTTCCAAATAAATTTTCAATATACAATTTTAGTGATCATTAGCCAAGTAATGACATCCAAGGCCTATTAACTTTAATAGCTTTAACTAACATGGGGAAATATAGTCTGTAGGTGCTAAAGCTTGGTGACTTTACACCAATATACAACAAACTCCTAAATCTACTGCAGCATGCAGCCTCTCCCTAGCTATACTTTCAGCAAATGCTGTGAGAGAAGCTTCAGCAATGTCTTGGACTTTCTAACAAAATATGAACTGTGTCATGAGATAAATGTTCATTTATAATTATATTAAAATAACATGAGTGTAGCTCTGCACACAGTTATGCATGTTGCTTACCTTCTCCTTTCAGACTGGAAGAAGGAGACTTCCTTTAAACTCCATTCAAGTAGCGTCAAGTTCTGTTATGTATTTATATACACTATTTCACTGTAATGATACTATTGAATGCTGTAATACCCTTGCATTTGTTCACTGTGCTGGTGATGTTATATTATTTATATTTATTATTTTATTTTATTTTTTGTGGGATTTTATTGTAAAATAGGAAAAAATGCTAAAAAATACAAGGATACTGTAGTTTTTATTGGTATTCATTGGGGTATTTCAGAGGAATCTAATTACAACAAGTTACAGTAAAATAATCTTTTTATTATTTTAGAATCCTTGTCATTTTCAACAGTGTGCATTTAAGTCCTGGTGGCCAAGATAACCATCATGCACAACCTGCCATAAATTTTTTCTCCCTTCCATAAGCTCCAGTTCTTCTCTGGTCTGCTGCAGAAATGTCTGTCAAGGGAACTTGGTGCTAGAATACTTCTGGGATAAAACAGGAACTGGCAAAAAAAAGTGACAATCCAAAATCTCCTAACAACTGTGAAAGGAAATCTATTTAAGAAAATTTTTTTTTTTTTTTTCTCTATTGGAATGTAATTTATCCTTGCATACAAGGATAAATTATTTAATGAAATGTTTTGGTTTCTTCAGGGAGAGAGCTGTGTAACAGAACTGAGATCAAGGCTCCACTTGGCTCTTCTGTGTCCCTGCCATGCACCATTTCATCAAATGTCTCTGACTGGGTCAAATGGAGTCACAAGTATGAGAAAGATGAAGCAGGTGTGGGGCTGGTTGACCTCTCATCTGAAGGCCACATCAATTTCCTGGACCCCAGATCTGGCAGAGTGAAAATCTTTCCCAACCAGTTTTCAGAGATGAACTATGGCATTATCATTGATGAGCTCAAAGATTCTGACATGGGATCTTACTACTGCAAGCAGAGCAATGAATGTTTTGAGGTGAAGTTGTTCGAAGATGAAGGTATGCTGTTCCTCTCAGGGCTTTATACATTTCTTTTTTTGATCAGTGGAAAGTGACCCTATGATTGTGTTTATTATTGGTTTGTTTCTACTTAGGTGAGCAGTTTTCTGAGGAAACTTGTGGTAAAGATTTTTGTGAAACATACCAAATCCCAGCATCACTCGGTTCTTCGGTGCTCCTGCCATGCAACTTTGACACCGGTGCCTTTAAATGGGTCACCTGGGTTCACTTAGAGAAGGGAGACATGGTTCGTCTTTCTTCTGAAGGACATGTTGGCCGAGTTAAAGCGTTTCCAAACCAAGCCTTAGATGGGAACTACTCTACTGTCATCGATGAGCTTAAAAGCTCCGATCTGGGGTCTTACTGCTGCAAGCAGAGGAGTAACTGTTTGCGAGTGGAGTTGCTTGGAGGCAAAAGTATGTAACCTTCCTGTTTCTTGCTTTTGTCAATACAGCCTGTGCAGATGCATATATTATTTTATATTGTGACAGAACTCAAGGGACATCTAAAAGTCAAATTAAAAACCTGTATTTATGAAACCTCATCTTCTTGTGCAGGTACATTAAGCCCAGTGATGCAGTTACTGATCTACAGCTGTGGTGGTGTTGCTGCCCTCATCTTAATCAGTCTTTTTGGCTACTACTGCTGGATAAAATGTAAGTTTAAGTGGTTCACTCTGCCTGTTGTTATACTTCCTAAAATTATTGCAGTTTTAATTTTCTAAGGAATTAATGAGGGAGTAGAAGCTTAAGGATGTTATCGCAGAGCTTTCCATTATACTAACAATTAAAACATCACATTGTTCCTTTCTCAGGCTTTGCTAACAAAGATGTTGGCCAATGATTACTGCTGATGAAACAACTCTGTTAATTAACTACTGCAAAAAATGAAACACTGTAATAATGAACGGTTAATATTCTGGTAACAGTTTTTAATGATAATTTAAAAGCTTTACTATAAAGAATATGATATGAGTAACTGGAAAACACACAGGAAAGCCTCTCCTAAATGTACATGTTATCGGCTTTCAGCTATGAACAGAAACACATGGCTGTGAAAGACAGAAATGTTTAATTTTCAGAAAAAAACAATTTGCCGGCGGATCTCGTCCCTGCTTTTTGCGGATGAAGTGGTTCTGCTGGCTCCCTCCTGCCAAGAACTAGAACATGCACTGGGGTGGTTTGCAGCCGAGTGTGAAGCGACTGGGATGTGAATCAGCTCCTCCAAGGTTGCAGGAGTTAGGGGAGAAGGGAGTGAAGTTGTGGTGAGGAGCTGAGTTAAAAGGCAAAGCTCTCTGTTCACTGGTCGGTCTACATTCCTACCCATATGGTCAGGAAACCTGGATCATGACAGAAAGAAAGAGAACCTGGATGCAAGCGGCTGAAATTAGCTTTCTCCGCAGGGTGGCTGGGCTCTACCTTAGAGATAGAAGGAGGGGCTTGGTCTTTTGGAAGAGGCTCTGAGTAGAGCTGCTTCTCCTCCACATCGAAAGGAGTCAGCTGAGGAGGCTCAGACATCTTTTTCAGATACCCCCTGGACGCCTCCCTCGGGAGGCATAGAGGATGATCCCAGACATGCGGGAGGGACTGTGTCTCTCAGCTGGCCTTGGAGATTCTGGCTGACGTCATTTTCTAAAAATGGAACACATATTATGTGCCTTTTGTAAACTGAGTAATTTAATATCAATTTAATGCTAATTTGGACCACAAACATCCAACAGCTTTCATGAAAAAAAACAGCTGAATTTTACAATCCATCCATTCTTTAAACTAGGTTACCTACAGCAACCATTAAAAAAAAAAAAAAACTGCTCCATATCCCACAGCTTTAAAACTCTTATTGTGTGCTTTTTAATACCCATACATGGATTTCTTTGAAAAAAAAAAAAAAAGTTCTGTCTCTACACTCTTATAATACACAGAATCAAATTATGTTTTTAGAGGGAAGAATTAAAACAATATTAAAAGAATCAGGGATGTCATTATAACCCAAACATTAAGGTGCTAGTCGTCATTTACAGCTGAATAATCCTGTAATCTGCTTAAAGTAAAGCAAAAAGCTCCATATGATAACAACTCTGATTTTGCTGCATTTGTGATATTTTCTATATGAAAACTTACTAAAAACATGAATACAGTTCGATATATTTTACAAGGATAATATAATTTCTGACATATAAAATAAACTAAAGTTATTTCATTAAAATGTTAAAGGGTTTAATCATATGTAATTATGCTTCTGCTGGGTGTGTGACTCATCCAATTGTCCATTCAGTCAAGCAGGGGGAGATCAATGGCAGCACAGCCTGAGAATAAAAAGGTAGATCGAGTCTCTTCTAAATTCATATTCAGTCATCTACGTCATCAGAATTCCTTTTTGTGTGAGAAAAAATCATGTTCACTCATCTATTTTCTGTTTTTCTTAGACAGCAGGGATGGATCGAAAAAAAGCCAAAAGTTGTGGTTCCTGACTTCATCCGTGGATCAGAGCAGCAATGAATTACTAAGGACCTCATTCACAACAAGACCACAGACGTTCTTAACCAGCTGTACAGGAATAAAGAGTCTAAACACCATTTTAACATGCATATGTGGACTGATGTTGGTGTTTTTTAAGTCTAAATGTATTGGAATTTGCTTTATATTTTACAGTTATAAAAGCTTCTTGATAAAATAAATATATATTGCATAAAAAATATACTTGATCCATTCATTTAGTCTAGTTGTTGAGAGTTAAATACAATGAATGGGATGTTTCTGGGAATTTAGATTGATAGATGATTGTTTTAGGACTGTAGGACTTCAGATACTCAGTTATTAGTACTTTTCTTCCTTTATTCTTGTATCTTATGTTGCTAATGCCTCCTGCTGGATGGAAAACAAAAAAAAAAATGTTTCTCTGTCTAAATTCATCAGGGATACTTTATAGCAGACCACCATTGGTATAACCTGAACAATTTGGTAGGAGTGGAAATTCCAATTAACTACCCACCTATGTAAGTTTAACTTTCCAAAGTTTAAGCTTCAAAAAAGTTAAACCTTATTATACTCTGAAAGTCAAGAGACCCTATTTTGCTATGTTGAAAAGGATTTTATCAACCCAAGGAGGTCTTAGTGATAATAAACAGGTGCGGTATATATATATATATATATATATATATATATATATATATATATATATATATATATATATATATATATATATATATATATTTGTATGCTCTCCATGTATTACTTATGTCCCCCGCTCCCCCTGTAAATTGGTTAAAACTTTGAAATGGTTCATTTCAAGCATTTGCATAATTAACTGATTTAGAAACATTATTCTGAACCATTTTTTCAAAAATTTGTTTCAAAGTTTTTCAAGAATATTCTGGAACATTATGTATTTCTCATGAACTATTTTCTTTTTCTATATTGCATTAAAGACATGATTTATTTGTTTGAATATGTATTTTGTATAATAATACAAATAAATGCGGTTGGGAAAGTGGAAAGTGAAATAATAGGTTTTCCATCTCCTCCTTTTCTTTTTTATAAAGGTTTATTCATACTTGTACCTGCTCAGCACCACTTCCTCATCATTTGTCTTACTTACCTCCTCTAAAATAATTTTTATAATTTTATTGATCAAACTATTTACATTAACAATTACCTAAAGGTAGCACACATAATTAAAAGCCACTAATCTTAATCTTCTCTGAAGTTCTCTGTTTAACTGAATGGCTTCCTCAAAATTAAAAATCCGATAGCTTATAAATATATTTATCATCATAAAAAATACTGATTGCTATTATATTAATAATGATGTCGTTGTCCTTATATAAAGTGGTAAGAATTTTTTAGTTTCAACAAATGTGCATTTTAAACAGACTTTTAAATACAAATTTACTCACTTTGTTTAATTATTTCTATTAAGCCATAAAATAATAGCATCTTGAATCCGAGATATCGTTAGGTGTTTTTGCTCAATCAGCTACTGATGATCTTTATCATCTAAGCTTGGTGCCAAAGCAGAGCTACTTAATTAGTCAGGCTTTTATTTCCTCTCATCCAGAGTAATGTAGCATTTCTCACAAAAAGCCCTGGATCAACATGATTCAACTTTTTCCTTTCATAAGTATTTTCTCTATTTCATAGTCATTTGCATTTTAATTTGCTTTTTTAAATTCATTCCGGTATTGATGATTATGCTTTCTTTGAGTAGTACTGTGAGATTTTCATTGTAGATCGTATTTACAAATCAGCTTTTTTCACCCACTTGTATAGCACTAGTTGCATTATCGCTGATGCATTGCATTATGAAGTTCTTGGTTTCAATTTCTAGCCTGGGTTTTTTCGGTCTGCATGAAGTTTACATGTTCTCATTTTCTCCCTGCATACTTTCATCTGATACTGATGTAGATTATGAAAATATCAAACAGATGTATCAAGTAGTAAAGTACAAATACTTTACTTAAGTAGACATTTTGGCTAGCTATACTTTACTGGATTAAGTATTTTTAGTAAACTTTGTACTTCTATTTCCTACACTGTTTTGCAGTTAATTCTACTTTCTACTTCTTAAATTTAAAAAATACTCTCATTTGTTTTGTATCATTTAAGCTCATTTTCGTTATGACCTATTGGTATTTTAAAAAGATCATCAAAATAAATTGCTTTATCCAGATAAATCATTTATTTGTAGTTGTAATCAGTATTTCACAAACTTGTTGTTCACAACATAACCACATATTAAAATATAAAGTTTTTCAAGATAATGGCAAGTTAAATTTGACAGAACTGCCATTAGTTAAAAAAAACTAAGAAAATTAAGTATAAGGAAGTTTTCATCCAGCATTTTATATAAAAAAAAAAAAATCCTTTTCATAGGGTATTGTAGTAAAAGACTTAAAGCTTCTGTCTTTACTTTTTTCCTGCATTATTTTAATTTTATACTTTGAATGGTTTTAAAACTGGTACATTTAGACTTTTACTTGAGTAAAACGCTTTAATTAATAATCTATCTTCTACAAAAGTTTTTTTTTAAAACATTGGGATTAAAACACTTAAGTTGTAAACATAAGTACTTTTGACATCTCTGATATGAAATTATTCAATTATAAAACAACCTTTTAGATAAAAGACTAGCAGCTCAAGTTCATATTTTGTCAAAGTAACGGGATGATTTGGATTATAAAATGTAATTTGAAATAACGGTAAAATAAAACAAAAAAAGATTAATAAGGACTGGTTCTACAATAGGAACAAGACATTTTTATGGAATATATGTAGTATTAATAGTTATTTATAAATTAAAATGAAAAAAAAGTGCGGGTTTTCCACGTTTTTAAAGGAAATGCATTCAAATATTCAGTAAAAATATTGATTTAATAATTAATTTGTACTACCGCCCGGCTCCCCCTGGAGGCGCCACTGGTCTAAA